CACTCAAAATACAGTCCCAATATTTAAGGAGGAAACAGCAAGAACAGTTTTCAAGTCTTCAGCAACACTGCTTTGATAACATGAACCCCTAAAAAAAAAAACACTTCCAGAGAAGATGCAATTTTCTTTGGGGAGAAAAGCCAAAGTGGCTCTTATCAGACAGCTTTGGCTATCTTGATCTCAAAGCTGGGGCCTCTCTGTGCAAGGGTGAAGGAACAGGGCACTAAACAATTTGACATATGACCATAGAGAAACAATTACAGGCCCCCATCAGAGACAACCCCCTCTGCCCAAGGGAGAGGCAACCAACTCCACATTCTTCAAAGAAACCAAGTGTAGAAAAGCTGCCCCGACTGGTTCCTAACCAGGACATCCACCCCTCCTTCCCACAAAGGGTAGGGGCATAGTGGTGGCAGCAAGAGGTCAGAGCCCTCCAGTCCCAAAGCCTTCCCAGACAAGAACACAAATGACCCACATTTTGAAAGGGAGTCAGTTTCCTTTCGTCCAAAACCCCGGATATGAAAAATGGCAATCATAGTTGTAGGAAGTCATGATTCTGCAAGACAATCAATGGATCATACCCCCAGGTTATCACCTATTAGCCCCCAAAGTGCCAGTTTGAAGTAATTTAAAAAGCAAAGCAACTTGTGGCATAAAAGGTGCATTAACTCTAAATGAGAAGTAGAATCAAAAAAAGAAAAGGAATTAGTTTTGCAACATACACATAACCAATCACGTCAGCGAAGGGTTGTTTGTAGAAAGCTTCATCTGCCACCCTAGACAGCAAGAGATCCAAAAGGCAGGCAAGCAGGCAGGAAAAAAGAGAGAACGTTGAGAAGCAGAAACATCTCAAATCCACAATAGAGGCACAAGTTCTCTGGGAAAGCTGTTCCCAAGGCTCCATCCTAACCCAGCAAGGGCTCCAGCACTGGAGGTTCCAGCAGGCCCTGTTTTCTGCTGGCCTGCTCCACGGGGATTCTCCCCTGGCCTTACCTCAGCCACAGCGAGCGTTTCTTAATCTGCTTATGGGCTAAGCCCTTTTCCAGGCACTATGCTGGTTCAGTTCTCAACCCCAGCAACCTGAACAAGCTAGGTGTTCTCACCTCCCTTTACAGACGAGGTGACGGGAGCCTACAGATGAAGCGACTTATTCAGCAGTAAGAGGCAAGGGCAGAACCCCAACCAAAGCTGCCTGGCTCTTCACCCATATTAATACTTTCCAGCTGATGTGAGCCACGTCACCTCCTGCCAGCCTCAGTAACTCACTGGGTGTACTAGACAAGCTAGGCCAAAAGCCAGTTTTTTCTTGGATCATCCAATTACTGCTTCCCCACACTGGCTGGGTGGAATCAACTTCCAGTGTCCTAGGAACTCATATGGCCACTTCAAAATTCCCACCTTGAGAGAAAAAAGCAGCTGGAGGCAAGTGGCCTGGTGGAAAGAACTGCAGACTAGGGTTCTGGCTCTGGGTTACTGTGTCCCTGAACAGACTGCCTGCCTGTTCAGTCCATGCCAGACGTGACCACTTTAACAAGGTGAGGCCAGAAGCCAGCACTTCATTCTTGCTTAACTCTCACATCAGGAATGTATCAGAGCCGGCAGGGCTCCGGAACAAAAGGGAAAGGCAGGATGCTGAGTGGAGTGTACACCAGAGGACAGGCTGGCCTTCGATCCTGTTGTCCCAGGCTGCCCACTTCGTCCACTGAGGGTGGGCAGGGAACCTCTCCCTTGAGGAGCCTGACCCTGTCCTTTGCCTGGTCAGTTTGGGACACAGGAGTGGAAGGGAGTTTTTTGTTTTTTTTTAAAGGACAGCCATGCCTGGTTATTAACAAACTCTCGTATTTATTTGAAGGGAAATGCTAGTGATTTAATTTGTTTATTTTTAATCTCACACATACCCTTTCTCACCATTTTGGTTTATGCACAGGTAGTGTTCTGTGGAAATGTAAAGAAAGCAAAAATATCAACCTGATTGTCACTCCCAGTGAGTCAGTAGGAAAACAGCGTATTGTTTATGGGCAAAATGAGTGGGAGGGAAAGGAAAGGCAGACTAGCTTGTAAACCCATAATCCTTTTAGTTTACACAAGGACTAAACCTAATCAATTTCAACTTGTGTTCTGCTTATGCTGGAAGAAAAAGATTTAATGACTCCTGTCAAAGCATCACTAAGATAACAAAAGGCTGAAAGGCGCTCCTTTGCAGCTAGCCCCAAAGAGCTCGTCTGTGACAGCACTGCTCCATCATGATTACAGACCCAGGACAAAGGGAAAATCTCATACAGCAAACACAGCCGGCCCTCCACCCGTTTGTTCACCCCCCAGATGGAGGGGCCTGAGAGCGGCAATCCCCAGGCAGGAAGGGGCTCAGGGAGCCTGGGAGAGGGGAGGAGGGATTCTTTCAGGCACCTTATGAGGCGGATACACACCAGGGCATGGAAACAAAATGTTTGTAAGCCTTGAGGAAAATGAAAAGTCGTTACAAAGCTACCTGTAAAAGGGGAAATGTTTCTGTGATGGTTTAAGAAGGGACATGGTCTGGGGTGGTTCTATAGGAATCAACTCCTCTGACTGGCTCCTATGAAAAGAGAATTCTTTTCCATGTGTTGTCCCTTAATTCATGGCTCTTGTGCAGTGACATTCAGGCCCCAACTCAGGATCTCCCTTTGAGGGAGATACAGTCTGAGGACTGACAGACTAGAGATGCGGTGACAGGTCTGTTGACTGTTGTCTGCCCCAGCACAGTGCCTGGCACAGCTGTGCTCTGAAGGCATCTGGAAGCAGAAAGCCTGAGATACTCATTAAAATAGGCCCTTGCTGTCCCCAAGTCTCCTCTTTTAACCTTCCCTGCCTTATCTTTGTGGTCCCCCTTAAAACATCCAGTTGCTGCAAGAATCACCCAGTAAGAAGGACATTGCTTGAATTGAGCACCCTCATTTTCTTTCCTCAAAATATTCACTATTTATACAGACAATGAGAAATATAAGACATTTTAAATAGATAATTGGGACTCTAATGTTTAAGTCAAACTTAAACGGGAGAGGGAGAACTATCGTATAAGCAATGTTGAATCTCCAGGGGAGGGTGTAGGCCATTGGAAGAAGTCCTCAAAGTGGTTCTACAATGGCTTCCCCCTCAGCCACTGAAGAACTGGCATGAAGTTGGTGACAGTGGTGAGTGTGGCACTAGCTTTACACACTCAGTGGTCAGCCCTGTCTGTGCTGCAAGGTTTCTACAAGGCAAGTGATCTGCTTTCTAAACAGTTCTACATTTTCAGTGAGTGGTAAGTTTAACTCTCTTCTCCTCTCCAGTACTTGAGGTTCATCTCTGACTATCCAAACCAACATCCTCAAATTCTACATAAAGAAAAGTACACCAAGCCCTAACGAACTAAACCTGTAAGACTCAACTCCTAAAAACAGGGATTCAGTTTAGCAAAGCTGGCTTGAAAAAATTTCTGCAATGGGAAACCTATATCCCCAACATAATATTTTAAGTATGAGAACCTGAATGTCAACTTGCTTAAGCCTCAGGGACCACGGGTAAACAGCGTTTTATACAAAGCATCCACTCATCTTTCTTTAGAGCGTGACTCACAGCTGGGGAAACCATCTTAAATAAGCAAAAGATAAGCTCAGCAGAAGCCCCGGACCCGAGAGCAGCCCCACCATACTTATCCTAGAACTTTAAGTGGAACCAGTCAGCACAGAGAATGCGTCCACCACAGCAAACCGGCCAGAACAGGCTCAAACCTGGCATCTGAGGGGCAGCTGGCAGAACCAAGGATGGCCAACAGGAAGACTGCTGTATAAACAGTCCATCTCTTCTACCAGGGTTGCCCCACAATGGCACAGGCTGGCTGGCAAAGCCATCAGCTCCCTCTTTTCTGTCAAATTTCCATATAATAGAGCTGACAGAGAGAAGGGCACTTACACCCATTTCTGCCTCTGAGGACAGAAGCCTAAGGTTCTTCACCCTGAAAATTAAAACTATCCTCAAGAGCCCTAACTGGTTTGACTCAGTGGATAGAGCGTTGGCCTGTGGACTGAAGGGTCCCAGGTTCGATTCCGCTCAAGGGCATGTACCTTGGTTGCGGGCACATCAACAGTGGGAGGTGTGCAAGCAGCAGCTGATCGATGTTTCTCTCATTGATGTTTTTAACTCTCTATCCCTCTCTCGTCCACTCTGTAAAAAAATCAATAAAATTAAAAAGAAAGAAAGAAAACTATCCCCAAGACCTGTCTATAGTGAAGTGAGTAAAGTCAATCCAGCAGGGAAAGCAAGCCCACAGACACCGCGGCAAGCAGCGCTGCCTCTGCCTCTCAGAGCTAATTCCACATGGACGCCAGGCACGCAGCATAAGGAACACAGCTACTGACACAAGATGTTTCCTGTCACATCTCACCTTCAGAAAGTGAGTAAATTCTGAAAAGAGCATTTTTTTAAAATCAACCCAAGATCTTTTTAGACACAGATACATACCCAGAGAACCCTTAATTCTGGTGTCTGTGTTGGACGACTTCTTTGGCTACCTAATTGCAAATCGCATTTCCCTGCTAACGGACCCCTCTTGTGAAGCAGCTTTCAGAGGGCAGGGTTGTAGTTAGGGGATACAACATGACGAACTTTATAATCACTTCCAGTGGACTAAGATCCTGGTATTATAGTCATGAAACAGCCTTTCATGTCAGGGTTACATCTTATACATGGACTTGGTCCATGAAATAATTTTTCCTTTGCTGTATCATACTGTAATAGGTGGTACATATGAATCAAACTCTTGGTTAAAGACCTAAACTCACTCTAACTGGGAAAGCTAACAGGCTTTAAATTACGTTCACATGAACCAAGAGATTTGCAACCCTTGTTTCAAGCACATTTTCGAAAACCTGCAAACACATTTCACACTGAAGGAGTTAGCAGCTGAGAACCTATCCTGGCTGTTGGAAGTGGATGACTCAATCTTGGAATACAAGCTGTGCCAAGAAGCACCAGGGACTGACCTGTTGTTTGCTTTTGTTTTCTGTAGCTGCTCATCCTGCCTCGCATACCACTCTTCCAGCTCCTTTATTGCCTTTTCTTTCCACTCTGCTTCTTGCTTCCGAGAGTTGGCATCTGAAGAAAGGAAAAACTATACAAATGAAACAAAACCTGTGCAAATGAATATTGGGAGAATAGTCAGGAGGAAAGAAAAATTTGTTTTTCCTTGTTTGTACATCCAGCTCTTGACCTCAGCGATTCTATCCAAGGTGTTTCCCACATTTTATCCCAATCCACTGACACTTTTGTGATCGCTAGTTGGTAGTCTGTTTTTCTTTAGGAGGGCGGGCGTGCCAATACTGACTTTTAATAGAAACAAGCCTTTGGGGGCTCCAACTAGGGAAACAGCAATTACAAAAATTTTGTTGTTGTTGTTTATCCTCATGGAGGATTTTCCAGTGATTTTTGTGAGAGAGGGAGGGGGACTGAGAAAGAGAGAAACATTGCTGAGAGAAAGACACATCAGTTGGTTGCCTCCCACAGAAGCCCTAAAACTAGGATTGGGGATCGAAACCAGCGTATCCAACCCACGACCCTCTGGTGTGCAGACTGACACTGTAACCACTGGGGCAAACTGGCCAGGCTACAGATGATTCTTTAACAATGTTGCCAATATCAATTTAGGTTGGCTATTCATATTAGATAATCATTTTTTTTTTTTTTTTACAATATATTTTTTATTTCAGAGAAGGGGGGAGAGAAAGAGAAATCAATGAGAGAATCCTTGCTTGGTTGCCTCCTGCACGCCCCACACTGGGGAACGAGCCTGCAACCCAGCATGTGCCCTGACCAGGAATTGAGGCATGCCCTCCCAGTTCACAGGTTAACGCTCAATCACTGAGCCATGCCAGCTGGGCCATATTAGATAACCTTTTAACAAATCTCATATTTATAGTCTACACCTCAGGTTGACAATTAATGGTTCTGTAAAACATAAGATGACACTCTTTAGCTAAATATGGTAGAAGCACCTCTATGAAGCAAGATGCTATTGGGAAAATTACCAGAGGTAGGGAAGATTCAGGAACCAGGGAACAGAATATAGATGTTCGAGTTAGGAGGACTGCAAATATTTATCCCTGCTTAGACTGCACAGTGAGTTTGTGACAGAGCTAAAGAGACTCCAGTGGAGGAAACTGCAGGGCATTGGGGTCATTATTGGCAGTTATTCACAAAGGTTCCAGAAATTAGAGAAAATGCACATCCAGCAGGAAGATTTTCGGGTTTAAATATGGGTTTCCCTAAGATATTTAACTAAAATAGACACATGTCAGTAAATAGTGGGAGAAAAGGCAGCATGTCCCAGCCACTGCTGCAGTTGACACCTCAAGTTACCCTGACACTTTACTTGAAATATGCTCTTAAGGACATCCGTTCGGGTATTCTTTCTCACTTAATCTTTACAACAACCCCAAGAAGGTAAACTGTGGTCTCCTAGCAGTGAGAAAAACTACAGCTCAGGAAGTGAGACATCTTTATAAAGGTTACAGTGAGTGACAGAACAAGACTCAAGCCCAGGTCTGGCTGTAAACCTCACATATTCTTACTTTACTAGAGGTCTGGCACACGAAATTTGTGCATGGGGGTGTGTGTCCCTCAGCCCAGCCTGCACCCTTCCCAATCTGGGACCCTTCAACGGATGTCCGACTGCCTCTTTATTAAATGTCGGACATCCTTCTCACAATCCAGGATTGCTAACTGCTCACCTGCCTGCCTTCCCAGTTGCTCCTAACCACTTCTACCTACCAGCCTGATTGATGCCTAACTGTTCCCCTGCCAGACTGATTGCCCCTAACTGCCCTCCCCTGCAGGCCTGGTCCCCCCCTTCCAACTGCCCTTCCCTGCAGACCCGGTCGCCCCAACTGCCCTCCCTTGTAGGCCTGGACCCTCTCAACTGTCCTCCCCTTCTGGCCATCTTATGTGTGGAGTGATGGTCAATTTGCATATTACTTTTTGATTAGATAAGATTATGCTGCCTCCAAGGGCAGGGCAGAAAGGGAAGCAAGCCTACAATTAATCCTAAGATGTGACTGAAGGTGGTAGCCATTAGTCCAGACTAGAGTTTGGGCAGTGTAGAGCCAGAGCCCACCCTGTAATTAGTATCCTCAAGGGGGAGAGTATAAAGCAGTGGTGACGACAACCATTCAAAGGAAGAAATGAAGCATTTGAGGGACTTTGCAAAAAAAAAATTGTCTTGCAGAAAAAATCTGCAGAAAGCAGTGTGTAAGTGCTAGAAACAGACTTAAGAACATCTAAAAACTCCAACACATTATAAAAGAACTTTTACCCCGTTATCTAACTTATCAGAAGGTGACCTATTGCTCAGAGGATAATTATTTTACTCAGATTACCCACTGATGACTCAAGTACATAGAGTAAATTTCTGGTGCCTATCTGTGTTTGCGGAATGGAGGGTGTACGATGCAATGGGAGAGGCTGAGGGCTGCCAGTGCCATGTGGACAAGAAACTGGAAAATTATATTTTAAAAATGTAAGGTCCCCTGTTAAGATTGGTGAAATTACTTCAAAAAAATTACCCTTTGATTGAAGAGTATTTTCTTTCTGTGTAGCCTGATAATTTAAATGTTATCATATAGTAGGAACAAAATATCATGGAAATTTACTCAAATTTTTGTCTAAATAAAAATTGTTACCATCTGTACAAACTAGGTTCTGCATAAAACAGTCCGTTTAAATTGTCTTATTTTACAGATTTATGAAGTGACACTGGGAATACGAATTTAGAATTCTTAAACGTTTAACTTAACTATCCAAGCCATAATACAATCTCTTTGATTGGGGGGGGGGGGGGGGGAGAAAAGGGATAAAGAGTCCCCTTAGAAAGCAGGGCACACTGACAGCTGTCTCCTCTGGCCATCCACATTATTGTTCACAGAAAAGCAAATTATTTAAGAACAGCCAGTAGTTAAGCTGCAAATCACTGACTCCGGTTCTCTATTCTTAGCATTTTGTGCCTTCTCACAGTTCTTGCAAAGAAAAAAAGTGAAACTGAAGAAACACCTAGATCGGGACCAATTTAATTCCATTCTGTTAGAATGTAAGGTCAAATGTTTGACTTCCCTCAGGAAGATATCTTGAGTTAAGAGGCAATACTTCTTGGAATATTTCCCAAATGTGCAGTTTGATAAATGAAGAAGAAAATGCAATTTTCACAGATACTAAAGTGAACTCTCTCCATGAACAGGACAACTTTGCTAAACATTGGGAAAAGAGAAAGAGAAAGTTGCGTTCTGTAACATGAAAAATACCTAGTAGCAGCAATACCAGTTAAGTCCTGCCTCTAAGCCTCCTAAGAAGACATACACAAAGAATAAGCAAGGTCTGAGGCTGCTGGCACATGAAGACCTATTTTCATCTATCTAAAGCTATACTCTCCAGCAGAGTAGCTACTAGCCACATGTGGCTATGTAAATTTATTAAAATTAAATGAAATTTAAAATTCAGTTTTCCAGTCATACAAGCCACCTTTAGAGTGCTCTCTAGCCACATTGGACAGCACAGATACAGAATGTTTCCATCACCGCAGAAATAACTATGGATAGTTCTGAAAAGATTCAAACCCAAGTGTGCCCAGTATTTTGAAAGTCATAAATTGGGCTGGAGAGGCAACAGATTTTACATTAATTGGCTGTGTTATCAGGGTCATGTCCCTCCCTATTTCTAGGTGTCAGTCACCCTATCTGAAAAATGAGAGTCATATTTTTACTAGGTCAGTGTTATCTAAGAAGGAATAATGCTGACACTGTGGTTATAGAGAAGAATGTTATATTTCTATGTTTACAATAAAATATTTAGGCATGAAGTATATGATGTCTGTCTCTTAAAATGGACCAAAAAAGTATGTGATTGTATATTTACAACACATGTATCTTCTTTCAACTATGCTGTTTGAAATTTTAAAAGCCGAGAAAAAATAAATGCCCACACTCTGCCATACCTCTCTAACCCGCATACACAGATACCAAGTCTCTCCTGATCTTGCCCAACAGCTGACACTTATGTACACAGACAGCTCGTCACGTAAGGCCAGGCTGGCCGGCCCAAAGGAGTATACTAAATGCAATGTGGATGGAACGATGGGTATGGACTCTGGAGCAGGACCAACTTAAGCTGAAATTCGGACTCTACTTCTTAGCTGTGATTAGAAACCTTATTACTCTACCTATGCTTTTCACTTTCCTTACCCATAAAAGTGTGAAAACTTACCTTTCAAGGGTATCAGGGTAAGAAAAACAAATTGTATGTTTTCCAACAGCTCACATTTCCCTCTTAAGCACTACTTCAAGTTTACAAAGCTCCCTAAAGACCATCACAGAATTCCCGGGGGGTTGGTAACACTGATCTTCTCCTCTCAGATGAAGAAACAGACTCCGCAAGGTTTGTGCAAGCAAGTGTGCACAGTTGGTAAGGGCCAAGGGCGGAGCCTTGAACCCAGTCTTCTCACTCCAAGTCCACGGCTCCTTTCCATAGCACCACCCTGCTCTTCTTGAGAGGAGAGGATACAGTTGGTGGCTTTCTGGGCTGCCCTGATCCTTACACAATGGCCTGTGATTAAGTATCTCCTCATTAGTAGCCTGTGACCTTCAGGCTGAGAAAGATTATTGTCCCAAACGCCAAACAAAGGGCATAATGGCTAATTCAAGTGAAAAAGGAATAAAAGGAGAGACAAGGTCAACTATTCCACTGAAAACCGATACCCAAGACAGAAAGGGATTCCTTACCCAGGGCTTCCAAGCGTTCCGTTTGCTCTTCTCTCCATTTACGGATACTTTCAGGCTCTGATTGCAATCGATCCACTTGTGAAATAGCTGCATAACTGTCTGTTGGGCCATTACTCTCCTTAGTTAACACAAAACACAATTGTATTCTATCAGTACCAAAAACCCCTTCCTGAAATGCACTGCATTCAAGTTAGAACCCCCGGGTATGCACAGCACTGAAGATGGTTAAAATGTTGAAGGATGACCTTAATAGCAATGACACAACCTGATAGGGAGCTTTCAGCATTACCTCACTTAATCCTTACAGCCGAGGAAGAGGCAGAGAAGTTGTTACCCTATCTGTTAATAAATGGGACAGGAGTGGGAGATAGGAAAGTCAGGGAGGTGAGTAATGGAGTTACTGGGAAACAGTGTTATCAGTTTTGGTTTCCTCACTTGACAAAGAGATTATGTGATATTTTCAAAGTAACAAAGGTGAGTGTACACAGTAGAGCAAGGCTTAGAACTTAAGACCTAAATGTTATTATATAATGCAGGAAGTAGGTCACTTAATACCACCTCATCAAAATATAGTGAATTTGAGGAAAGTCCAAAAAAAAAATGTATACCTAGTTACACATCAAGGAAAAAAATGAGGCATGCATATGTGTGTGTGTGTGTGTGCAGACTGCTCTTTATATAGTGGGTTAGATTTGGGAACTAACAAACTGACAAAGACTCAAACAGAACTTAACCTTTAGAGTTATTTCATGGTTTGAACTAGGGATTACCAGTTTAACCTAACTAGACTATCTACAAAGGTAGAAAAAAATATTTAAATTATTAGTAACTAACTTTCTAGCGTTTTTTATGTATCAGGCACATAAAAGCTCTTTCTGCCAAACACCTTGCAAAGCAAGTTTTTATTCCCATTTCACAGCTAGGGAATTAAACTGAAGCACAGAGAAGTGACAGGCCCAAATTCATAGCTAGAAAAGCAGGGGTGGGGAATGTTTTTTCCCCCAAAGGCCATTCGATATTTACAACATCATTCACAGGCCATACAGAATTATCAACTTAAAAATTAGCCTGCTGCCTGGCTGGTGTGGCTCAGTTGGTTGAACACTGCCCCATGCACCAAGAGGCCACAGGTTCCATTCCTAGTTGGGGCACATGCTCAGACTGCCAGTCTGATCCCCAGTAGGGGGAGTACATGAGGCAGCCCATCAACGTTTCTCTCTCTCCGGCTCCCTTCCTCTCCTTCTAAAATAAAAACATTTAAAAATTAGCCAGCTATATTTGGTCAAACATTTAATTAGCTCACCCCTAAAGCTTTGGTAGTGCCAGTTCGGGCCTTATATGGCCCACCGGCTGGATGTTCCCCATACCCAGTAAGGATAAAGCCAGGATCTAAACCCCGTTCTGTTTCATTCTAAAGGCCAATCTTAAACCAGGGATTGGAAACTACCCATCAGGAAGCCTGCCACCTGCTTTGTAATTAAATTTTACTAAAACACAACTAAGTCCGTTCATTTATGTACTGTCTACGGATGCTTTCAGACCTTATAACTCACAAGGCTTAGTATCTTTACTATGTGGCCTTTTATAGAAAAAGTAAAAGTTAGTTCATCCTCGGGCCCACCACATACTCACTGCCTGTTACTTTAGACCAGCAGTCGCCAACCTTTCAGACCTCAAGGACCACCAGTTGGCGACCGCTGCTTTAAGCTACTGATTTAACCTGTGTGCCTCAATTTACTTCAACTTATTCATCTGTAACACAGGAATAACAACAGTACAGATACCCCAGGTTGTTGTGAGAATTAAATAAGTATAAACAGTGTTTCACAGCACAGAGAGTGTTTAAATTCGCCGCCATCATCATCGCCATCGCCATCACCATCATCAGTCATTTCTTGAGAATAAAGCTCGTTCACACTAGGTCTGGTCAATAACATTTTAAAAGAAAGCTCTATAAGTGCCATTTCTTTTCCAAACCTTCTACTTTGTTAGGTAACATACCAGGTACTAATCTATCCAGGAAAAATCAAGGGAGCGGGGTCCTTCCTAAATCAGTCCATTCAAATCACAGGAAAGGAAGACTCTGACCACTATCATTCAACATAATTAAGAGTATTCTGTACCTGGTAGTACTCGCCATTCATCACTCCATCAACAGCATCTGCAAGACATAAGATTGCAATTTGTCAATTAGGGCTGATCAAATGCTGAGACAAAAGGGTTACAGAGTAAAATATAGTATTGTATGCAGTAGGTATTGTAAGTTACTCAACATTATATACAATTTCAGAGAAGTAGGGAGAGGAAGGGAGAGAAACAGCAATGATGAGAATGGTTGATTAGCTGCTTCCTGCACTCCCCACACTTGGGATCCAGCTTGCAACCAAGGCATGTGCCCTGACCAAGAATCAAACCATGACCTCCTAATTCATAGGATGATGCTCAGCCACTGAGCCACAAGGGCCAGGGCTACAACCCAGTCTTACTGACATAATTATTCATAACCAAATGAGAAAGTTTACCTCAGCAATATGAAAAATGCCTAAGTAAGACCTAGAGACTATCAATCCACATAGTACAAATTGGTGGCCCACATGCTGAGCATATTTTACTTAAAATATAAAGAACTGCCGAGACTGGTTTGGCTCAATGGATAGAGCGTCGGCTTGGGGACTGAAGGGTGCCGGGTTCGATTCCGGTCAAGGGCATGTACCTTGGTGGCTTGCATATCTCCAGTAGGGGGTGTGCAAGAGGCAGCTGATCGATGACTCTCTCTCATCGATCAATGTTTCTAATTCTCTATCTCTCTCCCTTCTTCTCTGTACAAAATCAATAAAATATATTTTAATAAATAAATAAATAAATAAATATAAAATATAAAGAACTAAGTTAAAAAATTCCTCAAAATCAGGTTTCCATGTTTGTGAGAGGGGGCAGAGAGACAGAAGATATGCCAATAATGGGTCTGCATTCCTGAACTGGCAACAGTGTTGGAAATGAGGGTAGCCTTCATATGGAGCATGCTCTGAACAATTTGCCAGTCCTCCCTAGCCCCAATTTTTTTAAAAAAGATATCCAAATTGATTTTTGAGAGAAAGGGAGAGGGAGAAACACTGATGTAATAGTGAAACATAAATCAGCTGCCTCCTGCATGCCTCCTACTGGGGATGGAGCCCAGGATCAAACAGACAACCTTCAGGTGCATGGGGAGGTTCCCAACCAACTGAACCATATTGGCAGGGAAAGCCCCCAAAACCGATTCTGTTTCACTAATTTAATTACCTGATAGTCTGATAAGCATGTGTTCCTAACCTAACCACGAGGCAGTCTCTACAGGGCTGCACACCATTACTCTGGAGTAGCTGCTCTAATTAACTTCAAAAGCCTCAAAAAAAATTAGCTTGCACCTCCATAATCTGTATTCTGTATCTGTTGGTTGACCCATGTTTACTAGTGCACCGGTGGGGTCCAATCAGGCTGGGCAAGCTGAGGGGAGGGGCTGCAAGAGGTTGGCCCTCTGGCCCTGCCCCCGATTGGGCAGGTTGATTGGCTGCAGTGCAAGTCATAGTGACTGGTTGCTTGGCTTTTATATATATAGATTATGTAGAACTTCCATTATCTTGACCAATTTTTTTCAAATTGCAATGACATTTTATTGCATGGAGTAGGAGAGGAAAGCTGAAAGAGATGAACCTAAATGACTTAAGAATTCAAGTAATGAAAGGAATGCCAAACACTCAGGATGGGCCACCATCAGGAGCCCTCAGAGGGCAATATATGAAAATATTTGCACAGCTTTCCTCTGGGGGCAGGTGCTCTCAGCCTCATTTTTTCCTTTAACAGGCAAAGATTTCATCAAACCACTCCTCTGGTCTTGGTTCCTAACTAATTACAGGCATACCTCTTTTTTATTGCGCTTCACAAATAGTGTTTTTTACAAATTGAAGGCAAGACCCTCAACCATAATAAAAAAGATTATGACTCTCTTTATTGTAATACTTGCTTTATTGCAGTAGTATGGAATGGAACTAATAATATCTTCGGGGAATGCCCATTTTCCAAATCAACACTAACATTTTATCCATTCTTTTAGTTTTTTTGCTTCTCCCAATTACCATCCCCTTGGCTTTCAGAGTACTGAAAACTTTTATAGATCATTTCCCCAGCATGTCTTCCTGATACCAAAGCATTCTCTTTTTTAAAAAAGGAAAATGGAGAAAGAAAATACCATGTCATTTCATCACTCAAACCCCCCCTTGGTTTCTATCCTGTTAGTTTATCTAATGTATATAGATGAAATTTTTCAGGAAAACTGGACTTCTAAAACATAACCTGGCGAAACCGTTTGGCTCAGTGGATACAGCATCAGCCTGTGACTGAAGGGTTCCAGGTTCGATTCCGGTCAAGGGCACATCCCCAGTAGGGGGCATGCAAGAGGCGGCTGATCTATGACTCTCTCATCGATGTTTCTAACTATCTCTTAAAATCAATAAAATATATTTTAAAAAATAAATAAGACATAATTTTTTCTTTCTTTTTTTACTAATCCATTCTTCTATATCATTAAATTCTCAACTTTATTAGGAAGAAGACACCTACTACTTATCACTTCCAATGTGCCAGGCACAGTATTAAACCTTTATATACATTAAGTTTTAATCCTCACACAAACTTATATGTATCAGCACTTTACAAATGACCTTAGAATATGCATAGGGTTCCTTGAAGTGAATAAGGTATTCTTGAAGGGCCAGATAATTGATGACACTATTTTCTCTTAAATTTATTTTTTATGTTTAAAAATGTAAGAAGAATATTAAATACATGTATTATGAAATAAGCAGCCTTTAAAAAGTGGTGCAATATTTAAGCAAGCCAGGAAGTCAGAGGAAATATCATCTGATAATTTGATACATGAACACAAACTGCAGGATCTAAGCATTTACCAACACACTTCAGCTTTACTCTGTTTCAGCTGCTGGCTATGAATCTGTAGGAGGAGGGCGAGGGAGACATTGATGTGAGAGAAACATCCATCCTCTGTAAACGCCCTGACCAGGAATCGAACCAGTAACCTAATTCTTTTGTTCCTATGCTTTATTTATGATAGTACAAAATAAAGTTTCTCATAGTTTTTATCATGGCTTTTTATGCTCCAAGCTGTCTGTGCGTCCACCTACCCATATAATTTTTAAAAATACTCTATAACGCAGGCAGCATGGCTTGCTCAGTGGTTGAGCATCGACCTATGAACCAGGAGGTCACGGTTGTGGGACGATCTCCAGAGTGGGGTGTGCAGGAGGCAGCTGATCAATGGTTCTCTCTCATCGTTGATGTTTTTCTCTCTCCCTCTCCCTTCCTCTTTGAAATCAATAAATAATAATAATGATAATGATAAATAAAAGTACTCTATAAACTTTTGGAAATATAAACTTCACTAAAAAAACTAATCAAAGTATTTGGGAAGGGTGGGAGGATATTAAACTAAACCTCAGTAATAAATTTATTGATGTAGAATTGCTGGGATACAGGACATACATTTAAATTTTTTAAAGTTTCTAAACACCAATCCGGTACTCCATTTTTCTCAGGCCTTCACTGAGACAGTTTTATAATGTTTTAAAATTTTTGTTAATTTGATAGCAAACAACAACAACAAAAAAAAACTTAAGGTGGCTTTGTTGTGCCAATCGTATTTCCTATGAGGTAATTAAAAATCTGACACTTGATTTTCTTCTTTACTGATCTGTCTGTTTTGCCCATTTTTATCTCTAAATATTCTCTCTGTATGAATTATTCCTCTCATACTACAAAGTGTTTTCCCCATTTACTTTTATATGGTTTATGATATTTAACACCAAAAACTTAACATGTAGACAATATCAATTTTCCCTTTATGATTTCTATATCTGCTTTTATGCTAAAGGCCTTTCCTATTCCAAGACAAATATTCACTTTTCTCCTGGTACTTGGGGGGGTGGGGGATGGGGGGATCCTCTCTTTAATCCACCCAGAATTTATTTTTGTGTAAGACAGAAAAGAGATAATTTAAAAATATATTTTATTAATTTTTTACAGAGAGGAAGGGAGAGAGAGCGAGCTAGAAACGTCGATGAGAGAGAAACATGGATCAGCTGCCTCTTGCACACCCCCTACCTGGGATGTGCTGCAACCAACGTACATGCCCTTGACCAGAATCGAACCTGGGACCTTTCAGTCCGCAGACCAATGCTCTACCACTGAGCCAAACCGGTTTCGGCAGAAAAGAGATAATTTTAAATCCTAGAGCCTACAAGCCAGATGGACATTCTGGTTAATAAATTACAACTAACATACCAACTATATTCTAGCCCAGGGCCACCCCCAATAGGAAAGTCTTTGATCACTATTCCATCACAAAACTAGAGCAGTTCTCATCCCATACCTCCTAAGTCACATGCTATCTGTCCTTTGGGTCTGAAGATTCTTCGAGACCCACTGGAAAACACTTTGAACTCTGATACCTTCCCAGAGAATCGTCTGTTGCTACAGAAACATGCAGAAAGGACATTAGGGCGCCTTGACTTATTAGGACAACTAAGCTAAGCAACCTGATGCCTCAGAAGGAAACTGTCTAGGGCAGCGGTCACCAACCTTTCGGACCTCATGGACCACCACTGGGCTAGGTCATCCAAACAGAAACAAGGGTCAGAATATGATTCCAGAAATAAAGACTTTTTGTCTCAAACCCACCTTCAAACTCCCCAACCTTTGAAGTCAAGCAGACCAGGGTTTGATTCCAGTGGAGCTACCCTGTTTCTCCGAAAATAAGACAGTGTCTCATATTAATTTCCCCCCCCCAAAGTTGCGCTAGGTCTTATTTTCAGGGGATGTCTTATCTTTCCATGCTCTAGGTCTTATTTTCAGAGGATGTCTTATTTTCGGGGAAACACGGTATGTATTAGCTTAAATGCTAATAGGATGATTGTTTAAATTCCATCATAAGTTTTCATCTGAAATAGGATGACACTACCACTTCGAACCTGGCATACAGTAAATGGGTAGTACTACTAAATACCATGCATGAGGTTTCCTTGAACTTAGCTTCACCACTACCAAGAAAATTATTCTCCCTTCTATGTCATTAAATTATCAACTTTATTAGGAAGAAAACACCTACTACTTCTCCCCCAAGGAAGAACCTGACAGAAACATAACAAATAGTGCCTCACTGCCATACTCCTTTAGTAGTTCCTTAATCACCTCTTATTTTCCTCCCTCCTGACTGCAGGTTTTCAACAGCTCTAGAATCAGGCTGCCTCTTTCCTAACCACTTGTTCTTCATCAATATCCCTGGAGCCACTTTACCAGGCTGGTTACCTCCCATCTTTAAATCTATGTATCTTTCCCACCTCTCCTAATAACAGGGATCATCCAGGGTTCAAGCCTGATCTCCACCCTCCCTGGGCCTCTCCCCCACCCTCCCTGGGCCTCTCCCCCACCCTCCCTGGGCCTCTCCCCCACGGCTGGGAGGAGTTTAGGTAGCTCCTCTGTTAAGAGCCTCCTGCCTTTAGGTTTAGGGGGGATACAGAGCTCCCTCCTAAAATCTGTTTCCTCCACACACTCCCTGAAAGCCCACAGGCCTGTAATACCCTCCTCTCCCTACTCCCCAAAAATAACAGTAGCAAGGGGCTGCGTGTGGTAATAACATACTGTGTGTAAGCACCTTACAGGTGCTTGCTAATGTAATCCTAGCAACCCTATGTGGCGTAGTTTTACACCTTTTACAGGAGAAAAAACTCAGGCAAGGCAGTGGCGGCTACATAAGCTGCCAGAAAAGCTATATTCACACAAGCAGTCCAGGGCAGCACAGACAGAGAGAGACAGTGGGAGAGGAAAGGAGGAGGTAGAGAGGGAAAAGAGGGGTGAAGAGAGAGGAAAAGAAAGGGGAAAAGAGGGTGAGGAAGAGAGAGAGGAAAGGGGAAAAAAAGTCTAACTAGTTCTCAAATCCCACAAGGAAGTGCTGACAGCGGCACTATTACCAACTCCGACTACGCTGTCAGAGATCAGGCTTTCCATCACTAAATGCTTAGTTCACTAAGAAAGGCCTTCCTAGGAACCAAGTCAGCAATCATCCATGACTTCCTTCCCTTTGCTGAAGGCTTAATGCACAAAAGACCCACGAGTCTAGCTCTGTTTTCTCCCTTTTTACCTTTCACACTGCCAATCACCCAGAATGGACATTTTTGCCCGTTTTTCTGTGAGTATCTATGCCCAGATGCCTGCCAGGCATTGTGGATACAACAGTGAGCAACACTGTCCTTGAATCAGGACAGTCTTCTGACTATGGGTCCTAATTCTCCCAACAGTGTCCTACCCAGGGCAGCCACAGCTGCTTTTCAGAAATGACAATCTCTTATCCCAGTACAGCCCTGATGAAACTGCAACGGAATATGATACAGTGGGAGAGTGGGCAAAGGGCTCGGCTATTGCCCTTAAGCAAGTAATTTCTCTGTAGGACTCATTTTCTCTTCTATTAAATGAGGGAGGGAGGTAAACTAAGGACCTTAAAAAAAGTACATTTTATGATTCTTAGGCAAATGTTAAAGACCACACAATAACAACGAAAGAACACCTACCTGTATCACACAAAGACAGCTTCACCTCCCAGCCACAATCAAGTTCAGTCTAACTGCTAGCTATAAATTGCATTTCCAGGTATATTACACATTATCACATACGGGGGACAGATCCCAGAGGCAGATCTCCCCACGACCACTCCCCCCAAAAGATTCTGCCTGGCTGGCATAGTATTTTGAGGCTTCTGAGTCTGAAGGCTTTTCTGAAAAGCACCATTCTAACGCACCAAAGCCTGTCTCCAACACTCATTATCTCACACCAGCATGTTTTTCTCATTCATGCTAACTGCTTGCCCCTTAACTCCCATTTGCCCCGCGAGTGCCTTATTCTCCTTCAATTAAGAATTTTAAAAGAGTCAATGAAAGCCCTGATCATGTAGTTCAGTTGGTTTGTGTCCGCCTGATATATCAAGGCTGCAGGTTCGATCCCCGCTCAGGACAAATACAAGGATCAACCAATGAACGTATAAATGGAACAACCATCAATGTTTCTTTCTCTAAAACCAATCAATTAAAACGTAAAGGAAAAGCCACGTTTCACTTCTAGCTAATTTCCTCCTTCCCTAAATAACTGAGATTTCGGCCACTCTTCCTTTCCTCCCACCAAGACAATCCTAAACATCACACAGGTACGACATTAAATAAAAAGGTCAAATTGGCATACCGCTTTTTGCTTGTTTTTCCTCCCGCTTGACCTCCTCCTAATCTTTCGTTCTGCTTAGACAACACTGGCTATCAAAGCCATTTCCAGAGGAAGCCGAGTTCCTGCAGTCCCACCGTAATAACACGTTCGAAAAAATGGCAAAACTCTCACCCCTCTTTGGCCGGCTTCTTTCTCCAAGGCTAGGTCATCTTCCTCGAGTTTCCTATCCACTCCTCCTCTCCTCCCCACAACCCAACACTCTGTACACCTTCAGCGCTGACATGCATCACTGCCATTTCTGTCTGGATGTGTCTAAAACGAACTATTTTTTTTTCTTCCCGCCCTCCTTTCCTAATGACGGGCCCCGTGCTGGGCTCAGAGCTGCCTGGAAGTCTGGCCAAACTGCGCCAATGCGGCGGTGCTTCCGAGGCCAGGCTCAGGGCAGGACTTTTTCCATGAAAAGTCCCGGAACTGAACGAGCTTCTCCGGGCTCCTCGGCGGGACTGTCCCCCTATTTGCTTCGCTCTGCTCCCTCCCCAGCTCGCGCCCCGGAGCGCTCACACACACCCACAGAGGAAAAGCCACGGAGTCAGCGTCTCAGGCCCAGGTTCCTTGCATGACCCTGCCGGGGTCCCGTTTCCTCTCCGCACTCAGCCTCCCGGTTCAGCAAAGAACAAGTGACACGGAGCTCTCGGAGCCACGGAGGGCCGAGCTCCCAGACAAGCCCCCCCGCCCCACACGCGCCGCACTCTCACCCGGACTCCCCGGCGGCTCGCCGTGCGGCTGGGGTCCAGGGGCGCCGCCGTCCAGGATGGCGAAGGCCTCGTCGTTCTCGATGCCCGCAATCTCGCTCTCCTGCTGCGCCAGGAAGGCCGCGGCCGGGTCTTCTTCGCCGGCCACCCCGTTCCCCAGAGCGGGGCCGCCGGGAGTGCCGGCAGGGGCGCCGAACGGGTCTGCGTCAGCCATGGCGGGCAGTTCAACGGCACCGGCACCGACGCGGAGAGACACACCAACAAGCCCACCGACACCCTTCCCGGCAGCGGCCTCGGTGGCGGCTCTACGCTCGGAGGGCAAGCTGGAGTGAGAAAGCGGAAGCGGAAATCCTACCCCCACATCAGGTTGGTCTAGACGAGATTGGAGGGCCGGAAAGGGAACAACCAATCAGAGGACGGAAAGCGCTCAAGAGCTACCCAATCAGCGGAGGGAGGGGCGGGCCTCCGAGGGAAACTCGTGACTTGAGGTGGCCCGGGGCGGGGTTTGTGAGTGTGTAAGCCCCGGGGGCTCCAGAAAGGCGGAAGTGGCGCTTGACCTGGTGCCTACACCTCTGAGGGGACGCTAGTGCTGAGCCCGACGTGGGGTGAAGTTAGGACAGCGATGATATTAGACAGACCTTCCTGGAGATGTTAAATTCTGTAGCGATCATCTGGTTCTTAAGGAGACTGAGGCCCCTGTGTGGGAAGTGAAACCCAGAGCTCCTGGCTCCTCCCTAATGGTACTAGCCACAACTCTTTTTTTTTTTTTTTTTTTAATATATTTTTATTGATTTTTTTTTTTTTTTTTTTTTTTTTTTTTTTTACAGAGAGGAATAGAGAGTTAGAAACATCGATCAGCTGCCTCTTGCACACCCCTTACTGGGGATGTCCTGCAACCAAGGTACATGCTCTTGACCAGAATCGAACCTCTGACCTTTCAGTCGGCAGGTGGATGCGCTATCCACTGAGCCAAACCTGTTTTGGCTAGTCACAACTCTTACATGCACACACCTTTCCCAGCTGGGGACTTGTTTTAGACGTCCCTTCCGTATTTTAAACCAGGGACATGTTTATAACATGGTTAGTTCATCTTGTCCTCACTCCGCCACCACCACCACCACCACCCTAGAGGAGGAAAATCGAACACCAACCACAGAGGCCAAAGATGTCTCCAGAAGTAGTCAGCAAGGGACATGAAACTGGCTTTTAAAAATCTACATGCATTTTTTGTTTTTACCTAAAGGTAGCAAAGCTATTATGGTTATTATACACCAAGAAGCTAAATTACAGATAATAGTCATGTGCCTCTGTGAGAGATGAGATGGAGGGAGAGAGGGGCAGAGGGTGGTGCTGTGTTCGGGGAAGTGATTTGGCTTCAGAATGGAAGAATCAGAAAAAGCACATGCACATATTAGCAGGTGAAGAAAGTGAGGTGTAGTCAAATCATGGAGGGCTTGAGTGCCCAGGTGAGGATTATTCCTTCATTGCAGAGGCTTTGAGGAGCCTTTGAATGACCTGAAGCAGGCAATGATTTGATGAACCTTGTTCTGGAAGAATCTCCTGGCAGTAAAGAAGGTTCTGATCAGAGGAAGGACAGAAAAGACACGGACACAGTCATTCAGGAGGGAGATGGGGTAAGGGAACAAGGATACTATTCTAGGGCAGAGAGCATTGGGCTCAGGTGGAAGGAAAATAATGGAGGGAATGAACACAGTACTTGGTAAGTGATAGCATTTAGGAGGCAGAGAGAGAGAGGAGTTACAGATAACATTTATAGGTTGGAAAACCCTGGACAGAAATAGCTACAACAGTAAAAGCAGGAGATGAGAGAAAGGAAGAATTCCTGTGGACACATTGAACCCAGGGGCCTGTGGGATAGTCAGAAGACACTCAACAGGCTATTGGAAATCTAAGTCTGAAGTTCAGGAGAGAGGTTTTCTAATCCCACCAATGGTGGACAAATTGTGTAGAGCCGACTGTTTGCTGAAAACAAGTCGAAGAGCTGGGAGAAAAAAGTTTTTAAAATCTTTGAAGGCATCAGAGGATGAACAAAGCAGTGAGAAACTATGGGCCCACGTTCTAGGAGAGGAGGGAAGCCAAGACCAATGAGCCTACTATTTGGAGCCACTTTTCCTCTCAAAGTGATTAGTATTCCTAAAAGCAGAATCTGAGCCCTAGCCAGTTTGGCTCAGTTTGGAGCGCTGGCTTGGGGATTGAAGGGTCCTGAGTTTGATTCTGGCGCAGGACACATGCCTGGATCTTGGGCTTGATCCCCAGTGTGGGATGTGCAGGAGGTAGCCAATCAATGATTCTCTCTCTCTCCATTTCCCTTCCTCTCTGGAATCAATCAATCAATAAAATAAAAAGCAGAATCTGAGAAGCTGAGTAGAGAATTCAATAAACAAGGCTGGGGAGAATAAAATAGTTGAGGACCTGCCAAGGAGGGGCCCTGATAAAATACCAGGCTTTTTGTTGGAACCCTGAAGGCTACTGCACACTAGGAATAAAGGTGAAAATAGACTAAAGCCCAGTTTTAACTAATATAGATCCTTGATCAAGTGATTCTGGCTTTTCAGTGTTCTTAGCCTAGCACTGCCTGCCAAAAGCAAAGATAAGTTCTCTCTGATGGAAAAAAAAAAATGTCATGCAAAAAATAGCCAAGCATGAAAAGACAAAACATACTCAGAAACATTCTCAGGGACATAGACTAGAAATCCCAGGGGATTCAGATAATGGAGTTACCCGACCTAGACTTTAAAATAGTTATGATTAATGAGTTCAATTAAAAGCAAATAAGGATTTCAGCAGCTTGAAATTTTGAGAACTAAAATTTACAGTAGCTCATATTAAGAATTCAGTGGATGAATTTTAATAATGGATTAGACATAGCCGAAAAGAGAATTAGTGAACCAGGAGGTAGAGCAGAAAAATATCCAGGTTGAAACACAGACTCAAAAGGCTGAAAAACACAGAAAAGAGCATAAAAAAAACATATGGGATATGAAGAATATGATTTATAAACATGTAATTTTAGCTAGGAGAGGAGAAAGAGAATAAAGCAATGTTAGGAGAGAAAATAGCTAAGAACTTCCCAAAATTGATTAAATAAATCAAGCTTAATATTGTAGAATCACCATAAATTCCAAGCAATATAAAACATACCCTTTCTAAATGAATATTTTAAAAATCTGTCTCTTGTGCACTTTTATATTAGCATCTAAAATTTTTAATAATAATTAGTTGCCAGGGATGTAATTTCTAGTATATTGTAAATATTGATCCTTTTAAATAAAATTGTTTCATTGCTCTTTTCAATGTATCCAATAGTTTCAAAAACAGTGATTTGATACTATCCATTTAAAAACTATACAACAGCCAAAACCGGTTTGGCTCAGTGGATAGAGTGTTGGCCTGTGGACTGAAAGGTCCCAGGTTCGATTCCGGTTAAGGGCATGTACATTGGTTGCGGGCACCTCCCCAGTGAGTGGTGTGCAGGAGGCAGCTGGTTGATGATTCTCTCTCATTGATGTTTCTAGCTCTCTATCCCTCTCCCTTCCTCTCTGTGAAAAATCAATAAAATATTTAAAAAAAAATACACAATAGCTTTTCATTAACCTTAAGAAATTTGAGATTCTTACTTGCTCCATGAATCTATACTACCATTCCAATACTTGCCCCCTAAGTTCTATCATTTTAGAAATTTTGTACTTGAAAGATTTTTTTCTTTTTTTTGTTTTTATTTAATTTACAATAATTTTTTAATATGGTAAAACGTATCTAACAAAAATTCACCATGAGTAACATTTTGTACATCCATTACCACTAATTACAGAATATGTTCATCACCTCAGAGAGAAACCTCATACACTTAAATAATTATTCTCTATTCCTCTCTCATACCAGCTTGTGGCAACAATTCATTTTTTCTCTCTATGTTTGAAAGACTTCTTGATCGCCATAATATAATAGCATCAACAAAAATCACTGATATAAAATCCATAGGGAGAATGTGTATATTTCTAGGGCTGAAATTCATGAATTTCAAAAGCAATTCTGTTGGAGTGTATATATAAACTTTTGTAATAATCAAGTGTTTTCAATTATAATTTACAGAATGCTATAATTAAATTTTTTATTTCAATATGTGAAAAAGAGACAATTTATACTTCTTTGTAGCAAAAATATGTAATATAAAATATAATTGACTTTTTAAAAATATCCCATGATCATACAATTCTGAATGTTAAAATTTTGTGTTGGCTTGGCATTATTGTAATTATTAACAGTATGAGCAACAAAAATACACCTGGACACTTTATAATTATTAAATATAAAAGGTAAAATTTTATTAGAAATTCCTGTCTTAATGAGATAGACTTGTATTATCTACTGCTGTGTAATAAATTATCTTGAACTTAGCATCTTAAAATAACAGGCATTTATTATTTCACAGTTTCTGAAAGTCAGGAATCTGGAAGGGCTTAACTGGATGTTCCTCCCTGTATTTTTAAAAATATATATTTTATTAATTTTTTACAGAGAGGAAGGGAGAGAGATAGAGAGTTAGAAACATCGATAATAGAGAAAATCCATCAACTGCTTCCTGCACACCCCCTACCAGATATGTGCCCGCAACCAGTGTACATGCCCTTGACCCGAATTGAACCTGGGACCTTTTAGTCTGAAGGCCGATGCTCTACCACTGAGCCAAACTGGTTAGGGCTGGAGCATCTTTTTATATGATTTTTGATTATGTGTGTCTTGTCTCAGATCCTTTGCCCATTTTTTAATTGTCAGGGGTTTTATTTTGCCTTTAATTGTTGAGTTGTAAAAGTTCTTTATATATTCTAATACAAGTATCATTTCAAAAATGTGGTTTTCAAATATTTCCTCAATTTGTGACATTTCACTTTAATGGTGTCCTTTGAAGAAAAGTTTTAAATTTGAATGATGGTTACTTATGTTTTTGGAATAATATCTAAGGAACTATTGCCTATTTGGAGTCATAAAGACACTTGTGTGAGACTGATCAAAGTTTTCTAAAAATTCAAAATCAGAAATAAAAATGGGCCGAAACCGGTTTGGCTCAATGGATAGAGCGTCGGCTTGGGGACTGAAGGGTCCCGGTTTGGATTCTGGTCAAGAGCATGTATTAATACCTTGGTTGTGGGCATATCCCCAGTAGGGGGTGTGCAAGAGGCAGCTGATCGATGTCTCTCTCTCATTGATGTTTCTAACTCTGTATCTCTCTCCCTTCCTCTCTGTACAAAATCAATAAAATATATTTTTTAAAAAGACTTCTCAATATTTATCAACCAAAAATAAAAATAAATATATTTCTTGATTG